AAATTTTTATAAGTGCTCGACGGTGTAGTATTTAACTACTATTTTTTATATTTCATTTAATAATAAACTTTTATTACACATACAGTTTTTCATGTTTTATATTCATTAAATTTGTATTTCTTAACTTTGATGTTCAAGTTTACAAGAGTCTATCAGTAAAGGCGAGAGGATTACTTTTCGGGTTCTTTAAGATATTCATATTTAATTTTAAATCGTGCTATCAAAGTACTTCTAATTCTTACTTTAAATTATAATTACTAGATTTTGCAAATTTTGAATTGGATAATATATTTTAAGTTTTATAAATATGTTTCAAAATTTATTAATTTATTAATTCAGCCATAATTGCTAAATCTAAGTATTTTCAACGTATTAAGTTCAAGTGTAAGGAACAACAAGTATAGTATTGGATTTAATTAGTTTAAAATTATTTTAATATTTATCAAGTTTCATCTAATCAAAAATAGTTAAATATCAAAATAATACATACCAGAGGGTTGCTTAAATTAATAGTAAACTATGCCAGGCCATATGAATATCCGTTGATATTATGTTTTTTTTTTTTCATCCATTCATAACTTTTAACTGCGCTATACTATTTACTTACAAAATTATTTAAGGAGTTAGTGAAAAATATAGCAGCTTCTATATAAAATATTTATAATTAGTTTTCGTAAGTTATGCTGTAACATTTATGTGTATAGATGAATTTTATTTCCATACTATATAAATATAACAAAGATAAGAGACAACTTTTCATAAATGTACAATGTACTTTTCTCAATATAAATAATCCTTAAAATACTCTTTATTTGAAAAAAGTAAATATAACAAACTAAATTAACTTTACTGACAATATTTGTATTATCTTAATGTCGAATGATTTCAACGACGATCAACAATTTGTAAACGTATTAGAAAATATTAGATTGAAAAATTAAAAAGCCGTTTTTACAATTACATTGAATAACTGTGTAGTGCATACATTTTTCTTCAATAATATAATGTGATTAAATTAAAAAAATATTGAAATATAATGTGCATATATAATGAATTATACTATTTAAAAATATTCAATAATTCATAAAGGAAATTGTTCTAATAAAAATATTGGTGTTGTAAGCGTATTATGTACGGATTATCACACATAAATATTATTTATAATAGTAAAATATATAAAATTTTAATTCCGTGTTAAGTAAATATGTGTAAAGATTATATTTTTAATCTATTTTTCTGAAATTACCTAATAATATCATTAGCTCCTCAAATTAGGTTGTTTTCAAAACTTCTAAATAATATATCTAAGAAATTTAACAGCCAATCAACGAATATTAAGCTTCGATTGAAAAATTAATCAACAGTAGCATAGTTTTATGAAAAAAAAAACACTTTATAATGGAATTTTTATAATTACTTCTATGAATATTATTATTACTTATATAAATTAATAATATAAATACTTATATAAATATTGAAATAAGAATAAAATAATCAACTTACGAGTAGCAGAATTAAGAAGATTTTATAAGCAGAGAGAGAAGATTAATCGTGTATTTGCGACTTAAATATGATAATGAAAAATATATAAAATACTAAGTACATATATATTAAGAAGAAAAATTTTAAGATGATATGTAAATATTCAACACATAAACTTGATCAAAAAAGTTTGCAAGTTAGGTTAAATTTAATAGAAGACGAGAATTGTAACTTATGACTGAATATAAATTGGCAAATTAGTACATAATAAAACTATTTTGATAGGTTCTTTAATATTTACGGAATTTAAATTAAGACGAAATTTCTGATAATTTGTAATTCCAATTATATAAAATGATAAAATAATAAAATAATATAAAATTCTATAAAATTATATAAAAATAACAAGACTTGAATTTATTCTTCGATAATTCAATTGCATATTAACGATTTATATTTATTTTTGAAAAGTATTATCGTACTTGCAATATAGTATATGAAAGAATTATTCTTTATTATCGGAGAACTGCCATTATCAGATTTGAAATATAGATATTTATTTATCTTATTTATTATAATAATTTGCTGTTTTTCATAGGTGTTAAATGTGTGTTAAAAGAACTTACAAAACATAACTATTTCCTTTGGAATAAATACAATATGAAAAATAACCTTGTCGTATTGGTATCGTCATAAATTAATGTGCTTTAAAGCTTAAATAATAATAATTATTTTAATACTTTTATTATATAACAAGTTTTGATAATATATTATAATTAAGAAACGCATGATTTTATATTGTTATTAAAATTTAAAAACTCACTCATCGATTACCATTAATTTCAGAACATTACATGTAGTAGAAAAGAATTTTTTCATTAAAGTTTACGTGATATTACATGGAAGAGTGAAAAATATTCGTGTAATATTAATTCATTATATGATGTAACTATATATGTATATAAATAAATAATATGTAAATTAAAAACTTTAAAAAATGATCTTGTTTCTTATGCATTAATATTTAAATTCCAAAATTTAAATATTAATGTATAAGGGGCCAGAACATTTTTCAAATATTACGATGGAGTACATGAATTAAAATAATATTGTAAAATAATTTTTATAAAAACGATATTATTCTATTATGAATTAACAATAATGAGTAAGAATGAAGAATAATTAAATTAAAAATAGTAATAATATTTACTTAAAATGAGAAAATATCTAAATATTATTAAACTTGAACAAAAATTGAAATAACCATTATGATAATTTTTTTTATATTAGCTATTTATGATAGATTTTTTAAAAAATTTTCTTATTACCTTGGATTAAAAATAATATGTTTAGCTTCAATTAACTTAATTTTTCGTCAAAACTCAGTGATCCTCCTACCTTAAGAAGCATATCGTATTACTCAAATTCTATTCTATATTATCGGAATTGAAATTCGAAATTATTTTTATCGAAAGAAATGCAATATCATTCTAAACTGATGAGAATATAATTTTGCAGCTTTAATTAAAATCTCTTTCTATCTCAAGCACATAAAAATATTAATGAACTTGAGAGAATTTTCGAGAAGTAATTATTCTCAATGGGATTAGCCTTGGCGTGCGCCACGACAGAGGCGTAGTAAGAATAATTCTTGCGTGAAAAGATACCCAGACACAGAAAGAAGAGAGAGAAGATCTATGCCTCTCTGCGCAGTAGTATATATGGTCGCGTATGTGGAAAAGGGGGTGCAAGGGTGTGAGAGTTAAAGGAGGAAAAGAGCAAAGAGAAGAGGCCAGGTCGCAAATTACGACGATGCTGCTTCCACGATTAATGTATGCGTAATTACAGTTTATGTAATAATGCAATGCGCATACATTATCCATTCGTGCGGAGGCTGCGTTGTCGCTTGATTCGGGCCGCGGCTCTTCCCTTCTGGATAGATACTTTTTCCACATCTGCGATCGCATTAGATTATTTATGACGCGCAATGCAATGTTACTACGTAAAAGACTAACGACATTTAAACCTTCGTTGTCACTATTAATATGCAACTCAGAGATAATAATATTTGAACTCCATGTTGTATACTTAATGTGTGCCGTCTTATATGCACTATTAATATTGACATATTTGGTTTTCATTATTTATGATTACTTTAAGAAGGGTAGGTTATCCTTAAATATTGTTCTATTTATTCTATTCTGTATTTCAATTAGATAGATAATTAATAATATGTTAATTGTTTATATACTTTGAGTTCATTAGGTAAATATTTATATTATTTGAACGTAACAGTAGAGTTTAATGCAAATCGAAGAAACTATTAAATAACTTTAAAAAAATTATAATAGAAATAAATTAACGACTTAATTTCATGATACTTTACTATGCAAATTTTCTTAAATAATATATTTTTAACAATATTACGTTATGAAATAAAAATGATAAATTTAAATTTTAGGTAAATATAATATTTTATTAGTTATGAATTAAAATATTGAAAATGCCTCTTTTCAGAAAACTAAGTCAAATAAGCTTTTCGGAATAGAGAATTGGGTTAAATGATTTATTCTTCAATTTCTAAGGATATATTAATCGAATATAAAGGAGGTCTAATGAAAAGAAAAGTGAATCTTAGGAAAATTAAAAATGAATAAAGCACACGAGGATATGGAATTACCTATTATATGTGTATACTGCTTGAATTTATTATTCTGAAATAAAAATAAAAATTTATTTTCTGCTAAGTATCTAAGCGATACGTTTTAATTTATTTGCAATGAGATAGTTGAAAGTTTATTGAATTGAAATGTTTATATCATAAAGATAATATTATCAATCATCATATTTTTTATGTTGGATTGATAAAATAGTAACTTTATATTTTTAAATTAAATTTTATTATATATAACAAATTTCTTGGAAGGAATCGTATTGAATTTCAATTATACGTACCGAATAAAAGTAAAAATCATTTACCAATTGTATTACCATACTAGGCACTGTTTATTCATATTTTTAATTTACAATAATATTATTATATATAGAATAGATCCTGTGAAGAATAATAATAATAACAATACACACACACACACACACACACACACACACACACACATATATATATATGGTTGAATATGCTTTATAAAGTTATATTTAACTGCAATGTTAGATTTGGTGAAATCCGCTAGAAACCCTCTATAAACTAAAAGACTTTCTTCACTCTCTTCAGAATATCTAAATCCGAATATAACTTTCATATTACTTAAGGTTGGCTTTATTTCGTTATAGACTATTTGCAAACCATTAGAAGTTTTTATATTTATTGAAATAACTTCGTCAAATTTTGTTGTTGTTGTTTTTTTTTTAACCCGAGCCAATGCATCTATAAAAACAATTATTTTTCTTGAAGTATCAAACTGTTGTAATATAACGATAATTGACTCTTCATGTTTCAAAGTCAAAGAAAGTGTTAATAATATTTCCTAAGGGAATAACATAATCATTATCTAATGATTATGAAAGTCTTCACTTTCACCATTCACATATTGTATGGTAGAAATAGTCGAATTTACGCCTCAAAAATAATATGCAATAATAGTTAATATAATAATAGTTTAGTTCCAATGTTGGTTATTGGATCAAATTACTTACTCATAAATGAAGTGAATCAGCTATCATCTATCTAGTCATTATTTGGTAGATATAGATCTTCTTCTCGAATCTATTTCATACCTTTTACGAAGTTTTGTTACCTATATGATTTTCTTTCATATTTCAGATATCCTCTTCAGCTTTAAAATAAACAATCATTTTCATCTAAAAGTCGATACTTTTTATTTTCACAGAAATATCTTTTCTATCATGATATACTAATAAATAGAAAAAGAATCCTTCATATTGTACTTTATAATTGCACAATTTATTCACTTAACATTTAGAGTAGCATCTTTAATTTGTAAGATAAATATTTTGTAACGTAAACAATAAAATTGCTTGTATAAACCAAATATTTTGGATTAAAATTGCTAATTAATTGGACTATTTCAGATCGTGACTCAACTACGACGCCACAGCAAGAGTGTAAGCTCGAGGGCCTCCATCCTCTTCTAATCGTTACTTATAAAAATATTACTGTACTCGTAAGTATTGTCGAGATATGCAATTTTTTATTCTGAAATTTATTTAATGTAATTGATAATAATTTAATGTTTTACTTATCTTATATAATTTGAATCACAGATATATCACGTTTATCTATCCAAGTGCCATAATTATTAATTGTTAATTAGTCCCCATGAAATGTATAAAAGGCAGAATAAAAATTATGTGCATACACACACACACACACACACACACACACACACATAGATGTATGGCTATTGACTTCTGTTATATGATAATAATAAGCAATGTAATTTAATCAATAAAGTAAAAGTTTTGATTGGTAAGTTCTACATAGCAATATTATTAAAAAATCGACTTGTACTTTAGATCCTGTCACTTATTATTAATCAATTTTATAATAAATTAGCATTAACTTAACATTAAATTTAGTATAAATATTGCTACATCGGTATTATAAAATTTTAATTTTCTCTAATGTCCAAAAAGAATTTCATTAAATAAATGGTAAAGAGTGTTGGATTCACGTCAAATCATGTCGGTGTACTTCTTACAAATACGCTTGGATCACGCATATAAATGTACTTATATACGTACATGGTAGATTGTTCAAGTTTTCTCGACTGTTGTTATGTGTAGTTATATGAGTGTTTATTTACTTTAGGAAATTTGTGTGCAGATATAATTTCTGCTGTAAACGTTATAAATTTTCCTATTATTGCGCTATTTATTTTATTGTATGTTAGCAAAAGAGAAGTTAATGTTCCGCATAATCCCACTGGTTTATATATTTTCTATTTCCATTTGATGCGTTGCTCTTTTAGGAAGGATTAATGTTCATGTAATTTCGATAAAATGCTCCGTTACACGCTACAAAATAATCGAAATTAATGTAAATCTAATTCTTAAATAATATTAAAAATAATTAATACAAATTATTAATAGTTTATAAATTATTAATTATCAATACATGAAAAATTATCAATAGATTATAAATTAGAGTCATACATGATTAATATATTATAAAATATATTATATGCTATTGATCGATTATAAATTATTAATTGATTATAAAATATTTGTTGCTAACTTGTTGCTAACATTACAAATTATTAATGTTAAATTATACATAGAGTGAATAATCGAATAAGTTGTAATTAAATTAAATATAATGATTATCAGATATATTATCAAAATATTCGTTTTATGAATTATTACGTTGTTTATTTGATTCCTATGCATAGGAGCTTCAACTTCATGCAACGCGAATTTAAATTTAAATTCATTTTTCTATCGCATATTATGACAAAACATTTAACAAGCCCAACTATAAAATTTTGCGTGCTTAATTATTTTCAAAATTTTAAAGGCTTTAATTATTGCAACGTAGATATTCGATTATATCCTTATGTATATAAAATTTTAAAGTGACGGGATTATTTCGGTACAATCAAGCATCCCAAAATAATAATACATTGATGAAGTCAATATGGATATGTAATTTTAGTTCATATTTACGCATCTGAAATCAGATGACCATAAAAAATATAGATCATATAAAATTAATAAAATATTTGGCTAATGAATATCAGTCTATTATATTTTAAGCTTTTTATACAGTTTCTCGTATATCTATCTTATGCTAGTATATTTTGTCTTTTTAATTGTGTCGCATTCACAAATATTGTCTCAAAAATTTATCAAATAGAATTTTAGATTATGAAAAATCAGGCAGACGGTTGAGATAACAAAAAATTATTATTGTGTTATAATATTTGTCACCTTTATAACGCTCTCATTGTTCTCATTTTATAATATTTAGTTGGGAAATTATGGATTCTTGTAAAACTGAATGATATTTTCGTTAATATATTTAAATAGCAATTACTTCAGGAAGTGAGAACCATTAGAGTAAATAATAGCTCGTAAGCTTTATTATTTGATAGCGGAAAACCACCCTTAAAGTCTTATCCAAATCCGTATAATACAGAAATAATTTACTCACATGTATATTTTAGTTACATCTTTGGCACTCATATGCTATTAAATTCATATTATAATTAAGATCGATTTCAAAGCTTATAATTTATCTTTAAAAGTAAAATAACTTGCTCGTTCACATTTATTACGTCAAATCCTTATATTATATGTGCTTTTATAAAAAAAATTTATCTTTATAAATTATTCGCATATGATGAGTGAACCTTATTATATTCTTAGAAGTAGAATATCCCTTTTTTAAGTATAATATCGTTGTATTTTATAGTTTTCTCATTTCTTGTACAATATAATGTCTACTTATGAAATATATTTCATATAAAGATTATTATAAAATTTGATTTAATTTTTTTCACTTAAAATCTACATATATATATATATATATATATATATATCTAAACACAATTTCTTATTCATTTCATGTTTCAAACCATTACGCAAACAGAATTTGATAAAACAATCTTAAAATATATATCACAAAAATTAAAAGATTTTCAAATCATTTGTATTGCATTGTTAATGAAATTTGTATCTATTTATAAAAAACTTTGTATACGAAAGCCTATATTGAAAGACTTCATATATATATATATATATATATGTAGAATGAAAATTCATTTGTGAAATTAGTATAATTTAATATTTTATGTTTGCATATATATATATATATATATATATATATGTGTGTGTACGTTAATATATCAAATGCCTCGAATGGACTCGTAAGAAATTTACGTGACTAAATCATTTTTCATATCAAACAAATTTTCTACATTTCATGATTGTTTCACTGATTACGTTCAATAACATTACAGAATCTAAGTAATAAAATTGTTTAAAACTTTCTAGTCTTTAATATCTGAACAAGATTATAATGCTGTCAAGTTACGAAAATCACGCTAATCTGCGAAAGATTAACACTTTACTCGGCTATGTGCAAATTAAGCGCAAACGTTAAATCATTCGATTTCAGGATGATCGTACTTTAATAGGTAGGACAACAGTATTTTCGCATTAGTTGCATGAAGTTTGAATAAGTATACAGGCGAAGTGCTATGATTCAATATAATAGGGAAAATAATTGGGAAATATCGTATCGATGCATTTATTTCCATCAGCTATGAATGAAAATAAACATACATATAAATGAAAAATATTGAAATATTACTTAACGTAACATGAATTAAATTCAAATAAAAAAATATTTCGAACATTTGTTAAACTAATTATGGATTAATTATAAGAATTTCATTTATTATATTTAAGAACATTTATAATGGCTTTTCACTGTATACGACATTATATTGATTTTACTTATAGAATAGTATTTGTGTATATATTCTTTGAACCACTCAACATTTTCATACATTAAAAGAAAAAATATAATATTGCGCTACCATTTTTATATACGCACTTAGGATAATTTTTACTATAATTAACAATTATATTTAATAGAGAGAGAGAGAGAGAGAGAGAGAGAGAGAGAGAGAGAGAGAGAAACAAAAAAAAATTATAATAATATATATTGAAAAAAAAATTTCAAAAATAAACAAATCAGTGACATGTAAAACGACGTTTGAAATAAATAAACTTCAACGTGAAACGTGTTGTCTTCAGTTCATCAAATATAATGTTTCGATGACATTTTATGTGTACATTAACTACTATCAATATAAAAATTCCCCCTATTTGTCTGCAAAAATCTGTCTATTATCGAATATATACGGCTACTTTTTAAATCTGTTCAAACTTTATGCGTAGACTTAGTAGAACAAAAATGTCTACAGAGTAAAGTTGGTATGTGTGAAAAAAGAAATGAAATCAGATGCTTCATTATTACTCTGCGACCAGCCAACCAATTTGTAACCAAATAAGGTCCTGTAATTTATTCGGTTCAATCCATTAGGTAACGTCACTATGGCTAAAGAGGAGAGAGAGAGAGAGAGAGAGAGAGAGGGAGCGAGAGAGTGTGTGAAAGGGGGGGGAGGGGGACGATGATATTGTAGCTACCGCAAGCACTTACCACTTTAAGCCCTTTCCCCTTCGAGCTATTTCTGGCTTATTTTACATTCGAATAGATGTGCAATGAAGATTTGCATCGAAGACAGTCAACAAATATATATTTATTATATTTATTTGCGACTGTCCGTTCATACACCTACAGCAATTCTTTTTTTTCACAATCATCAATAGCGAGAGAAATATTTTTAAATTTAAATGAAAATTTTTTATTCAATTATAAAGTGTCTATTAAATGACAAAAAATATTAAGTGAGTCATAAACAATTTAATTTTTTCGATAAAAAATGTTTATTCTGAGAATAAATTCGATTAAATCATTTTCAGCAACTCAATAATTGATGATTTGTTATTAAATTAATTGCAAGCTCAATATTATCATCAATTTATATATGGGGATTCACGAATTCGTAGTTAATTTATGTGAACAGCATTAAAAAATTTTCAAATATATTTTAAAATTTAATGTCATAATTTTGAAGTTATTAAGTATAACTAATGTGTAACAAAAATTATAATATATAATATCTACTAATTTGTTAGATTGTTGATATTTCATGACATTAGGCAAAATAAAAAAAAAAGTAAATGACATTTTATTTAAATAATTTTTTTAATGATCTTTATTTACGAATTTGATTGCAATTTATCTTATTTATTTAAGGCACGTTTATTATTAACAACATTTTGTCAACGTTATAATTATGTTTCTTTCGATCATTTTTCATTTAAAAGCATAAGTATATACCATAAAAATATTTTATTTGTTATAATTATATCTTTAGTTGTCAGAATCAATCAGTAAATCTATAGATTAAACATTATGGATAATATTATTATATATTTCTTAATATATGAAAAGAACAATCACATGGATTATAGAAGATTCGAAAGAACCGTATATTCTACGATTGCGTATACGACTACGATTTTCTGTATATTATAATAAATGAAAAAAGAAAAATATATTAAATGAATATAGATAAGAAAAATTGTGCAT